ATTTCTTTAAATTCTGAATAAAATTATACTGGATTTTTCTTAAACTTTTTTATAATATAATTTAATTAATAAGAGATATTATTTTTATTATTTTTCCAGTTTTTCTTATTTTTATTCTATTATATGGAGTATAATTTATTAATATTTAATAAAGATTTTTCTAGAATATCAGGTATCTTACTAAGTTTCTTTTTACTAGATTTAAAATTATTTAACTGAGTACTGTACTCTTTATTTAAAGAATTAAACTTATTTTAAATTATATTAAGATATTTGTTCTTTAAAGCTGGTTTATTATCATTATTAATTTCTGTAGACTAATTAAATGGTTCAGATAATTAGTAGATTTCTTATAATTCTATTAATATTATTAACTTATCTGTATCGGTCTGTTATTTTAACCGGTTCTGGTATATTCTGTTTACTGGTATTAATAATTATTTTTATTATATAGCATGTAGCTCTTTGCTATCTTATATTTATATTATAGATTTAATCCAGACTTCTACTAATCTGATATTTATATTATAGACTTTTCTAATTTTTTTATTTAATTCTGTTTAGTCTTTTCTTGTAGCTCTTAGCTATTTCTAAGACTGTTAATATTTCTGCTTATAATTCTTTAACTAGTAACTTATTTTATTATAATTAAAATATAAATAATTCTTTTTATACTTTTTGAGCTTCTCCTTGGAGACTCTATTTTATTAAATTTGATACTATATTATATCCAGCTCTATTAATTTCAGTTTATAGAGATTCTTATATTCTAGATTTTTAAACTATATTAGTTATCTGTTATTAGCTTAATAATCCTGTTAGTTATTTTATTAAGATATAGACTTATTGGTCTATTAGTTTTTCTTTTATTCTATATTATACTTATATAATTTATTATTAATCTTGACCGCTGCTGTGATTATTTACTGTAATATATCTAGTTATTCTTGTTAAATAAATTTTTTCTAGATCTCCATTTTGAGTTTTTTTTTAAATTATATAATATAAATGTCTTCGTCCCAGTCTAAATAACTGATAACTTGTAAAAACTCAGAGATATATTTAAATACTGATTCTATTTATTTAAGTTACTATAACTTTTATTCAGTATTTTATAATATATTAATATTACTGAATATTTATTTAAGATATTTTTTAAATCTAATATAGCTAATAAAGATTTTTTTAATATTATTATTCTGATTCTCTGCTGGTTTTTTTTAGTAGTCGCGGATGAACGGCTTGAACTAATTAAATACTATTCTGATTAGGTAAATAGATATAAAGAAAATCTTATTAATCTTATTTTTAAATTTTTTTTTATTTATATTAAGATATAAATTTAACTGGGTCAAGAAAGCCCTAAGCTTTAATTAATTATTATTAAATAATTCTAGTAATCTGATTTTAACAGACTTGACTATTAATTAATCTTTAAGTAACTGGTTCCGTTACTTTAAAATAGTAATATTTTTTTATAACTAATTAACTATATCTATTAATTCTTGTATTATTAAATCTTGTTATTATCTTTTTTCTTGGGCACTAGAGCCCTGCTGTAGAGTATATAATAAACTTAAAATAATTAATATAATAAATAGTTATAACTAGTAAATACTTGTACTGACTAGTATTTAATATATTAAATTCTAGAATTATTTTCCTGTTCCTGTTAGCTTAGCTTCACTGATATACATACTGTCAAACTGGATCGCGGAGATATCAGGCTGATAACTATCTAAAAGTAACTGATCTTAGATATAAAAAGAGAAGTAAAGCCAGATAATACCACACAGTTATTTATAAATAAATATAGATAAGTATTCTATCACTAAGCTTCCCAATGTATAATTACTTAAAGACAGTGTTATTAAGCATAAAGAACAGAACTAACTAAGTATATAAAAGAGTATTCTTATATTCTATTCTCTGTATACTATATTGTATACTATTCTAGGTAGATCGATGGTTAATCTAATTGTAATCCAGGGTCCCAGTATACCTTAAGTATACTCTTAATGGTAGGCTTGATGGTAGATGGTCACGTGATGCGTGGCCGTTTCGGGTGTTGTATTGGCAATTCGCAATTGTACTAAATAACAACTTGGCTTTGCCTGAGCGCTGCCCTTATCGGCGCTTTCTGCCTGGCGAGTCCGCCTTACTAGTAGATTAACTAGCAGGGGTCCGTAACAATATCTTACTAGTAGCTTTAATTTACAGGACACTGGTTTAAAATATTTTATAAAATTAATATAATAAACCTGCTCTGATCTTATCTTATAATAGAAGCTGATCAAACTAAATAAATTAATAATATTAATAATTTAATAAAATTCTGTATTTTGTAAACCACATTCTGTTCAGTATAATATTATACTGACTGAGATCAAGGATTAGAAAGAGTATATTATTAAATTATAATATATTAATAATAAAATTAAAATAAATAATATATATTAAAGATATAATAGTTTTTCTATTAAATCCTATTATAATATATTTAGTTATTAAAAAGATTATTTTACTTTAAAATTAGTATACTAACTTAATTATAAAATTAATATTTATATATATGAATATATTTACTCCAGTATCTATTAAAATATAGATAGATACTGTTAATTTATTCTTTAATATTAAAATATTTATTATAAAACTTTTATTTTTTTAATCTAATAGAATCTATAAGTCTAGTATACTTAAGTAAATTTTTATTTTATCTAGAAAAAAAACTTTTTTTAAATATTTTTTTTATTTATTTATTTTTTTTATAATTTTTAATTATTTAATCTAGATTATCTTCTTTTTTAGATAATCTTTAGTTAAATAATTTTATTTTTAATAAATAAAATATTATTTTTTAATTATTATATAAATACAGTCCTTGGGCTCCAGGCTTAAGATATAACTAGTAATTTAAAAGATTTAGATATTAATAAAAATAAAAATAATAGAAATAATAATATTTAAAATAATTAATAAAATATAATAAAATAATAAATAAAATTTTTTAAATTATTTTATTATGTGATTAATAAGATCTGAAGTACCAGTATAAAACTTAATAAATTAATTAAAATTTATTTTATTATTTATAAATTAGATTATAGTTATCTTTCTTAGCTTTAAAGATAATTATTAATATAAGTTATTTTTTTAGTAAATTTTGATAATACCAGCTTCCACAGCTAGATACTAAAATATAAAAATAAAATTATAAAATTTTTTTAAGTATTATTTTTAATTCTTAATATTAATATTAAATATTATAAATTTTATTTAGGTCAGTAAAGATTGTCTTTAAATATTCTAATATATTAATAATATTTTTATAAGAATTAGTTATTTTAAAATAAAATTAGAATATTATATATTTTCAAGTATTTTCTTTACAGTAATTATTTATATACACGTGTTAAATAATTAGTATAATTAAATAATCTATATTAACTTTTAATTTTTATTATATTATAAATAACTAGTCTTTAAAAGTCAGAGTCTTTTTATTATTAAATACTAAAAAATTAAAAATTTTTAAAAATTTCTTAGATTTAAAGATCTCAGCTCTCTGGTTATTATAGATTATATAATATATTATTATTACTATCTATATACTATATTTCTGGAAAATATTATTATATTTTTTAACTAGTTTATTCTGTTTCTGGATAAATATATTATACTTATCAGTTATAGTATTCAGTTCTAATTCTATTTTATTTATAAGATTAAGAATTAGATTAAAAGTTTTTTTTAAATTTTTCTTATATATTTTATTAAATTTTTTTTAGATAATCTTTCTATAGTTATCAGTTTCTTTATTAAGTAGAATAGTCAGGTATTATCTCAGATTTTTTTTATATAAAGTAGAGCCAGCCTGGCTTTCTTTAATTATTATAATTTAAAAAAATTATTAATTAATAATTTTTTTAAAAGATTTAGTTTAGGCTGTTCCATCTTAGCTATTTTAATATTACTAAATATATATTAGATAGATACTAGCAACTTTGCTAGATAACTAGCTGCTTGTAGTATTTTTAAAAAAAAGAATAAATAACTGTAATATTTAATATTATATAAGAGCTAATTAAATAATCTTATTCAGAGTATCTAAACTAGAATATTGAATATAAGAGGGGAAAGAAAAGGAATATAGAGAAACATATATAAATAATAAAGATAAGCAAGCAAGGCGAAGCAAACAGAACAAACAAAGTAAGTGAAAACTACATCACATGCCTCAGTCATGTTACTCGCCATCACAGGCTTTTTATTGGTATCTGATGTTATAGCACTTCATACAGCGCTTGAAATCCAGCCCTCTGAATCAGTGCGCAGATACTATTTGTATTTTTTGAGAGATGTCTACCCGATAACGCAAATATTTTAGTCCTGGTTCCGTGACGACTGCTAAAGTTTTATGATTGGCCCGGATATTTTATTGTTGGAATGTATTCAGAACCCTAAGGCTTACTATTAATACTACCACCCCCGGAAACCTTCTTAACTGGAGATATGGGTTGTCGGAATACCTTCTACATCCTGGTGTGATTACCGTGGATGTGCTGAGCAAGTAACTAGGCTTAAAAGAATATGGTCTAATAAGTGTATGGATATGGATGTTAGAGCAAAAGCGCTCATTGCTTCTGATTAGATCCTTCTGCGCACTCTCAGACAGTGCATGTGCCTCGATGACTGTGAAGGGTGTGATGTTAATACATTTACTGGAGACGTTATCTAAGCCAAGTACTTTAACCTTATCTATTATAGTGATATATGGTCCAGCGGCCCAGTCAGTCTAAGGATTTTGGGAATGCAATTTGTCTTTTTCTGGAATATCAATGGGGCCGTATCACCAAGGGATTATTGGACATTAAAAGATGGCATGTCTTATATTGATGCAGCTTACCCATTCTGCCCCCAATTTGCAGCTGCCGATTGCACATGCTGGGGATCCCCACGCAAGCATTTCGGAGACAGGGATGCTGATGCAATGTCGATCATTCGAGATTTGGCTGTTGTGATTGAGTTAACATAGTCAACATTGCGCAAGCTTCCCGGAATTTAGTCGTTATTCGGTGACACTGCGGCATTACCAGCAACGTCATGACAAATACAAAGGGAGTCAGACATGTTGGTCATCAAAAATGGTAAAATGGTTGCCTGGGATTCCCATACAGGCTTGGATGAAGCTTGTATCGTATTCCTCCCATCCCAGGTACGCCCAGTTTCGGATGAGATCGAGGTAGCGGGGCTTCGCACCGGGGTTAAAATGCACCGAATCGGCGGCGCGTATGAATATTTTAAGAGGCAGTCCTGACGCAAACTATGGCGGCCACCAGTCACGCTGCATCTTGTGAGCGTACAAAGTGCATTGCTGCGCTTGCACCCGCCGGGCATCGGACATACGGGCCGGTAGCTGGAAGCTGGCAGCTACCTCAGCGATCATGCGGTGGATACTGACTCGTGATCCTGGGGGTTGGGAAGGCACTGTTGATCATGACAACACCCTACACCGTGTACTGGGAAAGCCTCATTAATCGAGATGCAAGTTCTAAGGCAACGCAGCCCCCAAGAGACCATCCTGCGTTCAGAAGCACACTATTGTTAGTGCCCGAGCTTCCGCTTTGGCGCTAAGAACAATCTTACCTCCCAGGATGACGGCCCCAGATCCGATGGCTGACCGAAGTAAATGTGAATAGTCAACTCCCATCTAACGAATACCACGGTCCCATTTGCCTCCTTGATCGAAGTGGGAAATGTTGATGCCGTAAAACGGCCGAAGTAACTCTCCCAAGCAGAAATACGGAAACACAGTGTCGCCTGCATCGTGGAAAAGGATCAATGGCGTGGACAATTCGTCCATTCCCAGTCCTGACTGGATTTTGCACGGGTTCTCTTCCATGTCGATCGACAACCTAGATAATCTGCTGGCTCGTGGCAATATTGCGGTAGCAAAGCCTGACCTTCTTATCCACCCCTCATATTCAGGGCATCCATGCACATACTAGCTCTACGTGTCAGCATCAGCGTCGGGATAACTAACTCCGAAACTGGTTGCTTTATCGCACCCATTGTCTGTTGAGATCGAGATGGCGATCTTGCAGAAGCAGCGAGACCCAGGGATCGGCAAGCTGAGAAAAGATCGGCAAGCTGAGAAAAGATCGGCAAGCTGAGAAAAGATCGGCGACCCGCTTCCTCAGGCCGATTTGTCAAGCCCATTTGTCGAGCCCCTTTGTTCATCTCACGGGCCCGGAGTCCAGGCGCCATTCAAGGTTGGAAATCCCGGCATTCATTATCTCCGTTGCTATTGGAATCCTGTGTAGATGGTTTGATCATCAACAACTATTTGCTCAACTCTCTTTTCACAAAGGGTATCACATGGTGAAGATACTGGATTGTTCGGGCTCTGCTAAATCTCATTTGCCGATAACGCAGACAAGATCGGAACAGATCGGAGCCGTAGGAAGACAAAACTATCAGGCGGACTGTTTTTGGACACCACGAGTCTTTAAACATGCTCAACAATTTCCTATCTATATTTAGCTCGGTATATATATATATAATATAAGGCAACCTAATCTATTATTCTCTTCTAAAGAGCTCTCCGCAATAAGACTACTATTCCCGTGGGCTACTAAGGCCACCACCAATGCCGCTTCTCCCTTTCCGCTCGTTAAAGTCTTCCAAAGATTCCTAAGAAACCCCTCGCAGTATGTACCCAGAACTACTACCCCTATCAGAACTGCTACGTCCCGCTCCACTAAACCTATCTCTAGAGGCACCAGCGAGGGTACCACTTAGACGGTAGCCTGAGTGAGATAACATTCTAGTGATAAATGTAACTTTTAAGACATAGTGCGGATCTCCTACTTAGGTTTAATGATTATTTATAGCCCTAAAACTATTTAGCTGTAAAATTTGTTTGACGATGTATGGGGTCCAAAAAGTGCTTGCCATGCTATATTGAGAAAACAGAATTTTCGCACATGCCTAAGGCATCCACAGGCCTCTGGACCCCTGAAGGGAAAATAATGTGTAACAGTACGGATATGCACATCTCGCTCGACTTGATCCATATTGTCACACGTTCTCAACGTAGATTCACAGGTGACGTTTCAGGGCGAAATATCTGGAAGGTGATTCATGCTGACCGGGGTTTGCTAGCCCGAAAGAGCAGCACCACTCCCACAATATGGGTCTCAACCTCCTCAAACTCATTCTCCAGTGCCTTGAAAAAAACCTCTGGGCTATCATTCGTGTTCCCAAAAATGCCTTTCCGGTTGTAGAGGCGCATCGTCAGACGCCCGAGCAGGTTGTGCTGTGCTTTATAGCCCAGGATAGTAGCACCAAATAGAGTCCCTTCTGGAATCAAGTGGCGTTTCAGGTGCGAAAACACAGTCGCCTTGTGATCTGTTGGCGGAGGTAGGCAATGCAGCAGGTACATCATTGATATAGAGTCAAACTTGGATGGTGCGCCGAGGCTTCCTTCCCCGGCTGGGACAGTGAACGGCTCAAGAACACTAGCTTGCACACATTCGGTCTTGCTCGGACAGTCGATACGCTCGGCAGCCTTTTGCAGGCACGAAGGGTTCATGTCAACAAGGGCCAAGTGCTGAGGCCACTCTTGGTTTTTCTGCCGCATCTGCTCGCGATGTTTTACAGGGAAGAGCCCAGTACCGACACCAATGTCCATATGGCGGGGTCCAGCGTTTGCCGCAAAGAAGGCTTCAAGGACTGGAAAGGGACATCGCCACACATAATTGTCATTGAACCAGTGAACAATAATATCATAGAGAGTGAGCGTAAGGCCCGAGTATATTTCCCAGCCGCCCGGCATAGTGGTTTTTCCTTCTAGGCCTCTGGCTCGTTTGATAGCCTGCTCAGTGTGCGGTCGTCAATCTGGGATAATTCTTTGGCTTCAGTGTCCAGAGCAGTCCCTAATGTATGTAACCTCAGTGAAGAAGAAAAGAAAGAGAGCAATGAGAAATGAAAGAAGAAGGGGAATGCTCGAACAAGCCGCTGATGTGATGAAAAATCGTCGCGCCGTCGATCCTGAAGTTTAGGGGCTTTCGGATGGGATATGGATTCGCCAAACAACTCCCCGGCCGTCTCCACTCCAAGGGAAAAACGCAGTTGATGCCATCCTCAGCACTGGTCACAGTGCACTATTGACTGAATTGCTTATAGTTGCGTGTGTCCTATATATTGATAACTGCAGATGTTACCGCAAGGGAAAAACTCAGGAAATTATTTTGCTTTGGTGAGGAGCAAATTACCAAGTAGGTCAGGGCTATTACAATTTCCCATAAGAGTTGCATAAATACATTGTATCGTCCCTATGTGTATATATCGTTGAGAAATGGGCCAAGTAATGGGCCACATAACGCATTACAGATCTTGCGTTGACCGCGCCAAGACGGGCACCAACCTGTCTAAATGGCTTCGTTCACGAGGCACGGTTCCGCCTGCCTTATTCGCCTTCCGATTCACCGCCGTACGTTGGGCGTCTACGTGATCAGAGGTTGCAGATCGGCTATGTCGGTTTTTAGCGTCGCGTGGAATGAAAACTACTTACTAAGCAGTTTGGTCACATGATTTTCACGCCACCTCTTACCACACGAATTCAAAATTTCATTCCATGTCACCTCTTTCATTCCTTTTACACACCACCACCACCACCAATCACCACCCCCCAAAAACATCCACAACCATGGCGCAAGTACTTGAGGATGGGAGTTGTTAGTACTTATTCAGTGCTTATGTACTGCGTGCCCCTGGGCCGCCCGACAGAACCTACTGTGACGTAGTTAGAGGAAATTACTAAGCTTTTTGTTTTTGGGTCAACTTATCTTTTCAGTTAGATTACCAGCCCAATCCCTGGAAGCCTTTCTGAATAGCGTGATCACACTAGCTAAGAAAACCCGAGAGCAACCTTCGGCACAGGAGATCCTGGGGAAACTAAACAGCTTACAGCTGATTGCAGAGAACATCACCCTCATTAAAAATACTGTCAATAATATACTCGCGTCGCCCGCTCCCATGCCACTCAATGCAGCCACCCGAATCGCTTCCTGGGCAGATGTAGTCCGCTCGGGCACGCCCTCGTACCCGTCCACGCCGAATAGCAGAGCCTCCACAACCGCAAGTATCAAGAATAGGAAAACCATAATAAAACTTGATATAAACTCCACGGCTATTCTCCGCAAAATATCGCCGGAGGACCTCCGCAAACAAATAAATAATATCTTAAAATCACGGATAAACCTGCTTGGGAAAGCACCACACATCATAACAGCAAAGTAGCTGAAAAGCAGCGATATAGTACTTCACACTGTAACCACGGCAGAGACAGACACACTGAAGAGTACTGAAAAAAAATAGATCAAGATTCTCAAGATAACCACACAAGTGATTAAGCCCACGTATAAAGTAATCGTCCACGGAGTACATACCGACAAGGAATCAATTAATACCGACAATCAAGACAGAGCTATCAAGAAGATTAAATTAGAGAATGCCGTACTCCATAAAGAAGTGAAAGTAGCCTATATCAAACAATTAACTAAGAAAAAAAAAAGAAAAACAGCCTTCTTTCCTTATCATAGAATTCATAACAAAATACCACACTAACCGGGTCATCCGAGAGGGACTGGTATTGAATATAATCTACTATAATTATGTCCTGTACAATCGGTCATGCAGGCTCGAGCAGTGCTATCATTACCATAAATATAGCTATATCAGATTCCAGTGTGACACCAAAGAGAGATGCAGATACTGCACAGAAGCACACAATACCAAGAAATATATAGTAAGAGATACTAACCCAAAACCCGTGTCCAAATGCGTGCTATGTAATAGTCAATACACTGCCTGGAGCAACGCTTGCCCGCGAAAACGGAGAGAGCAAGTAAAGATAGAGTAAGCCCAAAAAACCTGTCCTATCTTCCACAACGAATCAGATGAATCAAGACCAGCAGCTACTGGAACTACTACCGGCAGAGACATAGAGAGGCCTTCAAATCCGCTTGAGAGAAAAAATAACCTAGTAAATTTGATTAATATATTAATCCCGAGTCTGCCCGCTAGCCAATCTCATCAGTATGATCTCTGAAGGACTATCCAGCCATCAACACGCGCGGCAGAGGATGAATGGCAAGCAGCATATTATAGATAACAAACACGATCGCCCCAGAAGAGCAGCTAGAGGGGTAGAAGTCAAAGCCCAAGGACTAGTCAGGACCGCTCAGCACTGTTAGAAAGGCCTGTAAATACCACCCTGGGAAGAGAGAATACATGCAACTAAGCAGTCCCGGAAGAGAAAATATAAATATTAGAAAACTTCTTCTATTACCCCCAGCCAACAATGAGCGCACGACCAACTCTGTCAATACTGCAGTACAATGTAATGAAGTCTCGGGACAAAGTCATAGCCACATTATTACGAGACAGGAAAATCACAAGTTATGATATATTAGCTATCCAGAAGCCATGGCAGAACCCTTTTGTCTATGCAACCCATGATCCCATCTCTTAACATTTCGAAGTGGTTTATTATGACCACAGGAAGACTCACGTCTGCTTCTTTATAAATAAAAGGATCGCGAGCCATCACTGGAGCTAAAGTGGGGTGCGCATGAGGAAACTATCATCATTCACAACGTCTACAACCCCGTCCTAAGCCTCGAACCCACTAACAGCGCTATAACAACATTACAAAGAATGCTAGACCGGTGGAAAAACACAGAACAAATTATGGTCAGAGACTTCAACCTGCACTATCCCTATTAGAAAAGACTCAGGGTGCAAACACCAGACCCTGAGGCAGAAGAGGCCCTCCAAATAATAGAAGAGTATCAGCTAGGCCTCCTATATAAGCCAGGAACAGCCACATTCAGAGTAAGAAACACAGAAATAACTATAGATCTTTCACTGGCCATTCCAAGCCTACAAGACAGCTTTATCTGATGTCACCCACGGAATGATCTTGACCATGACTCTGACCACATCCCCTTGGAAACTGTACTGGCTAAACTAACCCGGAACAGAACAGTCTCGGAACGGTGGAACTGGGAATATACAGATAGAGAGAAGCTCTATATAACATTAGACTACCATATATCCACCACAACCGGGCTGAAAACGGAAGAAGACATCAACAGTGCTACTAAAGGAATAATATCAGCAATTTTAATAACTATCTAAGAGTCAATACCGAAATCACAAATAAGTCCACAGTCGATCCCGGGATGGATAAGAGAGTATAAAGAGGCTCAGCAACTTGTATAATAACTAAAATAACAGTACCAACATAAATAAATACCTGAAGCCTGGGAAGTATACCATCAAGTGAAAAACCGTAAGACAAGATTCATCAGAAAGACATTACAGGACTACTACAGAGCAAGAATCAAGAAAGTAATAAACTCCTCTGATGGCCTTTGGAAGCTGGCAAAATGGGCCTGGAACAGGAAGCCATGTACCACATCCATACTACCACTTCAACAACCAGACAGGCAGATAGAAATGGACACAGCTAGAAAACTAGAGTTATTCAGAGAAGCTTTCTTTCCACCTCCCCCGGAAGTAGACCTAGAGGATATTAAGGGCTACAGATACCGATTACTCTCAACAAAGTCATTAGATCAATAAAATAAATACCCTGGAGAAAGGCGCCTGGAAAGGACATGATTCTGAGCTATCTACTTCATCACATTACTTTTTATATAGTACAGCCTCTCCAACGCCTGTACAACACCTGCCTCAGGCTCTACTACTGTCCCTGTTATTTTTATGAATCTGTCACAGTCACTCTCCGGAAACCAGGGAAGAGCAATTACAGACAGCTAAAATTATACTACCCTGTTACACTTCTAAACACACTAGGCAAGATAATAAAGTCAATCATAATAAGATAAATCAGTTATACAATGGAAAAGTACAGCCTCCTACCACTACAACACATGGGGGAAAGGAGAGGAATCTTTATAAAATAAATAATTTATCTCCTACTGGAGAGGATATACACAATCTAGAAAATAGTATTATTTTATATTGCCAGCGCCCTCTTCCTGGACATTTCCGGTATATTTAATCATGTCTTATATAAGCGACTCCTCCACAACCTGCGCAAGAGAGGCATCAATAAAGATACTATATAATAGACCACAAGCTTCCTCAGCGAGAGAACCACTACAATACAGATAAATAAACTGGAATCAGAGAAGTACTATATTGATATAAAAATCCCGCAAGGCTCTCCGCTCTCTCTAATACTCTATCTATTTTACAATGCAGACCTTCTAGAGACAGCAGGCGGCCGAGATATCTAAACAGCAGGATAAATTAACAACATATATTTCTTTACCAGGAGCACGTCAGCGGAACAAAACTGCCAAAAGCTGGAATAAGCATACTGAAAAGCAGAGAGCTGGGCTAGAACTCACAGATCAAGATTTTCACTAGCAAAGTACCAGCTCATCCACTTTACCTAATCTAGAACAAGATTCAATGTAACAGAAACGGTGAGGATCAAGAATACAGAGGTCCAGCCTATCCATACTGCTATGTATCTAGATGTCATTCTGGATCCGGCGCTCAAATAAGATAAACAAATTAAGTATATCTAAAAGAAAGCTACCCCCCTTCTAATATCTCTAACAACACTAGCGGGGAGCACATGGGGAGCGGGTCTGATATAACCATACCAGATTTACTAAGCAGTAGTAATTCCTGCAATCCTCTACAGGTGTTCCGCATGGTATACACTCGGAACAGACAACGGCCACTGTCAAATACAACATCAGATTCTGACTCAGATCTACAGAAGGGCGATGAGAGCCATCAAAAAAATATTCAGAGCCACAGCAATAACAATAATGAATATAGAGACCTACCTGCTCCCCATGCAATAGCTACTAGAGAAACAGTTGATGGAATCTTTCCTGAGGCTCCAGACCAACAAGACCGTGGACTTAATAAGAGAAGCACGCACTGACAAGATTAAGAGACAGGGATACATAAGCCTACACTGGCACCCATGGGACTGGAGTCCACTACAGAAAATCAACAAGCTTGTTATATAGAAACTTGGGCAAATAAGTCTTGATAACCTGGAGAATATCCAACCATTTATAACAGCACCATACTGGATACCGCCAGAAATAATAATCGACGAGAATACTGAAAGGGCAATGGAACAGCACGAAGTAATAACCAGGCAAGACCAGTCTGTAATAGTGGTGTACACGGATGGAAGTGGTATAAAGGACAGAGTCAGAGCAGCAGCAGTCTGCTCCCAATACTATGAGACATGATCAGTATATATAAGAGAACTCTCCGAGGCCATGATCTACGCAGCCAAGCTATAAGGGATCTTACTAGCCATGGTTATTATCCTACACCGCTGAATACAACGCGTAGTTATTTTTACTGATAACCAGGCAGCATTACGAGCACTGCAAAACCTAGGGTGATAATCAGAACAGTATATCCTAGAAACTATTTTTATAGCTATAAAGAAAGCTCGTTAATATAAACTTACTATACTTTTCCAATGGATACCCTCATACAGGGGCATCGATGGGAATGAATAAGCTGATACAGCAATAAAAAAAGTAATAGGCTGGCGGCAGGTCTGTACTCAGCACAACAAGAGTATAGAAGTAATGACTGATGATACTGTATCCAGACCCGCACATCAGAGACTTCTCCAAACGGCCGTAAAATCAAGGATATAAGGGGTAGTAAATACCTAATAGAAACATAACTAGTAGTCCAGCCCCCACGGCAGGATGGTTTAGGAGCTGACACTAACCCCGATAGAGAAGATACTAAAGGTCCACCAGAGTCTTTATCGGGTACTTAGTACAACCATCATCCAGCTGTACACAGGGAAGATAGAACTTCGACACTACCTCTATTAATAAGAAATGCCAGACATACCAGGCACAGACTATCAATATAGCAAAGTAATCTAGATAATCTAATATATACTTCTTACCTGTCCTTTTTTCAAAAGCCTTCGCGAAGAGATATTTGGCAGAAGGATTAGAGACCCAGAAGAAGAAGAAAATATAAAGAAAATCCTAAACACGCCTAGGCTAGTAATCCGAGCAGCCAAATTTATAATACGCACTGGACTTCTTGGGCAATTCAGAGCCGTAGACAACGCGGAAATAGATCAGACAGAGCACTAAGGTCTTTAGGGTTTTAGAGATCAAGAGAGGACTTGGGAAACCTCTAGATTTAAATCTGGACAGAGCCAAATCCTCAGCTAAGGCGCATATTGAAGGCAGAAATATGTACATAGCAAATATAGTCTAGTAGGCAAATCTTTACAACAGGACAACAGTGAAATGATGTCCGACAAGTTCGAGATTAGTATCATTTGATAGCGCTAGAAATAAAAAATACAGTAATATAACTCTCGGTCTTTTAATCAATTATTCTGTTAAGTTATAAGCATTTGAAGATGACAGTATTTATTTCTGAATATAGTTAGTACATGTAACAGAAATTTAATCAGGTTAATATATATAATAAAAATTTAAATCAGGTTAGTGCTCTTTTTCAGGAATATTAAGTCCAATTAAGTCTATTAAGCATTATAATAATAAATATTATAATAATAAGTATTACTCTATTAAGTATTATTCTAATAAATATTATAATAAAAAGTGTTATCTTAATTAGTATTTTATAAAATAATATATTAATATCTTTAATATAGATCCTCAGAGTCCTATCTATTCTATATACTAGAAAACTTAAATTATATATATTTATTACTTAATATTATTTATTATATCTAAGTTATATATGTTCAAGAAGTTTTATTTATTATAAAAATATTAATATATAGTAGTCTGTGCACTCGCCTACAGTCAGTTATAAGAAAAGAGAGGTTACGTGATATTTTAACTAGTGAATTATAAAGATAATAATACTGTAAAAATTAAATAAAAGATTTTAAATATAATATTATATTAATATTTTGAACCTCTGCGATCCCACCGTGCAAGCAGATGGTAGAAGAGGGTAGTATTATAATTAATAATTTTATTATAATTTTTATAATTGGATGATATTCTTTCTGCAGGAAATAGATAATTAAGCAGGTAATAATATTTTTATAATATTAGAAGTTTTTTATTTATTTAGTATATTTTATCAGCTTATTTCTCTGTAGGGCTGCTGAGCTTATATTTTAATAATTATCTTTAAATCTCCGCGATTTCAGCAGGGAATAGATAGTGGAGTAAATAATAATATTTTTATAATATTAGAAGTTCTTCTATTTCTACAATTCCTGCAGGAAACAGATGATGGAGTAGATAACAGTATTTTTATAATATTAAAAGCTTTTTTATCTCTGTGATTTCTGTAGAAAATAAATAATAAAGTAAGTAATAGTATTTTTTCTATTTTTCTTAATATATCTCATCCTCTCGCCCCTCCGTGCGGCTGGTGAGGTCGAAAGGAAGAGAGATTATAGAAAAAAAAAATAAATCTTATTATTATATCTAAATCTCTGTAATTTCTGTAGAAAATAAATAATAAAGCAGGTAATAGTGTTCCTGCAGTACTAGAAATTCTCTTATCTCTGTAATTCCTGCAGGAAATAGATAGTAGAGTAGATGATAATATTTCTATAATATTAAAAGCTCTTTATTTACTTGGTATATTTTATTATTTTATCTTTCCGCGGGGTTGCTGAGCTTGTATTTTAATAATTACTTTTAAATCTCTGTAATTTTTATAGAAAATAGATAATAAAATAAATAATAATATTTTTTTTATTTTTCTTAGTATATCTTGTTCTCTCGCCCCTCCGTGCAGCTGGTGAGGTCAAAAGGAGGAAAAATTATTAAAAAAAAAAAAAAGATAAATTTTATTATTATATTTAAATCTCCGCGATTTCTACAGGAAATAAATAATAGAATAGGTAATAATATTTTTATAGTACTGGAAGCTTTTTATCTGTTTAATATATTTTATTATTTTATTTTTCCGCGGGGCTGCTGAGCTTATATTCTAATAATCATCTTTAAATCTCCGCAATTTCTGCAGAAAATAGATAATAAAGCAGGTAATAATATTTTTTTTATTTTTTTTAGTATATCTTATTCTCTCGCCCCTCCGTGCAGCTGGTGAGGTCGAAAGGAAGAGAGATTATAAAAAAAAAAATTTTTTATTATTATATTTAAATCTCTATAATTTCTGTAGAAAATAAATAATAGAATGGATAGTAGTATTCTTATAGTATTAAAAACTTTTTTATCTCTGTGATTCCTGTAGAAAATAGATAATAAAATAAATAATGATATTTTTACAGTACTAGAAGCTTTCTGTTTATTTAATATACTTTATTATTTTATCTCTCCATGGGGCTGCTAAGCTTGTATTGTAATAATCATCTAGTAAATTTCCGCGATTTCTACAAAAAATAAATAGTAAAGTAAATAACAGTATTTTTATAATATTAGAAGCTTTTTATTTATTTAATATATTTTATTATTTTATTTTTCTGCCGGGCTGCTGAGCTTGTATTCTAATAATTACTTTTAAATCTCTGTAATTTTTGTAGTAAACGGATAGTTAACAGGGGTTAGAAAGTAAGCAGGTATTATATTTATTTATAATATTATTTTTCTTGGTATATCTTGTTCTCTCGCCCCTCCGTGCGGCTGGTGAGGTAGAAAGGAAGAAAGATTATAAAAAAAAAAATAATAATTTTCTTATTATATTTTAATTTTTATAATCTTGCTGAGCCATCCTAATGATAGAGAAGAGTAGTATTATAATTAATAGTTTGTTACGGACCCCTGCTAGTTAATCTACTAGTAAGGCGGACTTGTCAGGCAGAAAGCACCGATAAAGGCAGTACTCAGGCAAAGCCAAGTTATTATTTAGTATAATTACAGATTACTAATATAATACCCAGAACAGCCATGCATCACGTGACTATCTACCATCAAACCTACCATTGAGAATATACTCAAGATATATAAAGATCCTGGACTATAATTTAATTAATTATTAATCTATCCAAAAAGATATATAATATAGTATATAAAAAATAAAATATATAAGAATATTTTTTTATATATTTAATTAGTCCTGTTCTTTATGCTTAATAATATTATCTTTAAGTAACTATATATTTAGAAGCTTAGTAATAGAATACTTACCTATATTTATTTATAAATAATTATATAATATTATCTGATCTTATTTTTCTTCTTATATCTAAGATTAATTATTTTTAAATAATTATTAGTCTGATATCTGTCAAACCCTAGGATCGCTTCTCTGTCCCGGTTAGCTTAGCTTCACTGGTATACGTACCGTCGAACTGGGTCGAGGAAGTATCAGGCTGATGACTATCTAAGGACAACTGGTCTTGGACACGAGAAGAGAAGTAAGGCCAGATAGTGCCGCGCAGCTATCCGTAAGTAAGTGCGGACGAGTGTTCTATCGCTAAGCTTCCAAATGTATGGTTACTTAAAGACAGTGTTATTGAGCACGAAGAACAGAACTAACTAAGTACATGAAGGAGTGTCCTTATATATCCTATCCTCCGTATACCATATCATATACCATTAGGTCTGTCGTATACCGCCATGGTAGTTGTAGACCGGGATGGTATACCATATACCATAGATCCGTGTGTATACCGTGATCACGTGATGCGTGGCCGTTCTGGGCGTCGTAAAGGTAATCGGGAATTGTACTAAATAACAACTTGGCTTTGCCCGAGCGCTGCCCTTATCGGCGCTTTCTGCCTGGCGAGTCCGCCTTACTAGTAGATTAACTAGCAGGGGTCCGTAACATCACTTCCCCTCCTTCGAGGTTTCTTGTCCTCAAGAAACATAAAGGTGTGTATTCCCCCCTTGTGTGTTGGCCGGGTCCT